TCCCCGTAAATGGAGAGGAGACCGCCGCGCCGCACTCCGCTCCGGTTTCTCCGCGCGGTAATTAAACAAGCCGCGCGGTAAACTACTGTACTGCCCGGCGACTGCCGCCGCCGCCGCTAGATCGATAAATAAGCGTCACAAATAAATAAAAGATCTCGCTAACATCGTGACTTTATCATTAAACTGCGCCGGTGCGCGAGAACACCGAAATGGCCAATAATGACCGGCATCCGGACGCGTTACGATCCACTCGAGTTTTTCCAATCGAGAGCTGCGGAACAGTTTTCATTTTTTATCAATAAAAAAGCCGACGCGGATCCGCGTATCGTTTACTATATACCATAAAGTTCAAGGCTTATCTGGTAACCCGCGGTTTTCATCGTTCAGGGCTGGGCTGAATTATTCTCACGATACTAGTGCACGGCAGTGGCGAACGCGCGGACTTCGTTTTCGGTTATGGGATTAATCGACAAGCAGATTTAATGGAGAGACACACACACACACACACACACACACACACACACGTGTAAGCGCGCGCGCACACACACCACACACACACACACTATACACACATCGTGGGGGAGTCTACGAGCGTACATACGGGGCAACAACGTGTGCGTATATCTCGATGAAAAGTAATGCTAACAATGGGGTCATGCGAGCCTTTATAATATCACGCTGGCGGCCCAATTCCCCGTGCAGGATACGTAACGGGAAAAAAAGGCCGAGAGGCCTGCCAGCTGCTGTAAACGATACAATTACCAGATAGATACGCGCTCGTGTACGGAGAGAAAGAAAGATCGGTCGAAAGAGCGAGAAAGCGGCCTGGCACAGGGGTTGAAGAAGAGGGGAGAGAGAGAAAGAGAGAGAAAGGAAGAAAGGAGACGATCATCATCCACTCGGCGTCGCTGCGGCAAAAGAATCGAGAGCGATCCCTTTTCGAGACGTCCGACGAATAATATCGCGATGCTCGCTCTCTCTCTCTCTCTCTCTCTCTCTCTCTCTCTCTCTCTCTCGGAGCGCGCGGAGCCACGGCGAGCACAGTCGCGCACATACGAGGACTTTACCGAGCCCTATTTGTGTATTCGTGCAGTTAACACGAGCGCATAGATATTAAAAGCTTACGTAGCCTATAACCACGCATCGGCGCACGGCAACAACCAGGAGCTGGGAGGAGCGAGCAGAGGAAATAAATATTAATAACGGCTTTCTGCCTCCGTCTCTCTCTCGCTCTCGCTCTCTCTCGCTCTCTCTCTCTCTCTCTCTCTCTCTCTCTCTCGCTCTCTCTCTCTCGCCCTCTCTCTCTCTCTCTCTCTCTCTCTCTCTCGCTCTCCCACCCCTCCATCCCTCCCCGACGGTTCTATTCTCTGTGTACCCCTCCTTTTCTCTTTGCCTTGCCCGCCTGCCCCCGCCGCCTCTCGCTGTGTCTCTCGCACTCTCACAATATGTCTGTGCATTGTTAGAGCCATTACAGAAGCCAATTAATCTATGCACAATTTTATAATTAAACGGCTAATAGCGCATAGAATTATAGTCCAGGGCCGCGCGCGCACTCCCACGTACACCCGCTGACTGTTAACGCCGGGTGTATGGCGAACGCGCGCGCTCGATTTGATAGGAAGAAGGAAGAATGGCGAAAAAGCGCGGCACATCGCCGGCCGTGTGCGCGACGCTTTTTCCTCGTTTCCCTCTTTGTCTCGCTCGTGCGTCTCGCGACCTCTTTTTCGCCGATTCCCAATTAGAGGCACGATTCCGAATAGGCGGTCTCTCTCTCTCTCTCTCTCTCTCTCTCTCTCTCTCTCTCTCTCTCGGCGCGGAGAGGCGATCGCTCGTCCGACCGAGTTAGGCAAATTAATTGATATAATTGACTCGTCTCGTTAGCTATGCGCAACGACGGCCGCATTATTATTTCCTCGCCGATTATATCGTAGGGCCCGGAGATCCGACGGTGTACAACAGGATACGACGCGCGCGTAATTATTGCAGTCGATTACTTTTCAGCCTGTAACAGGAATATCTGTCGGCGTTCTCGATCAGATAGCGGGGCCTCGTCTCGTCCGAGGACGACGACGTCTTCGTCTGCGGCGCGGCGGAGAAACCACCACGCCGGGGGGGGGAGGAGGGGGGAGGGGGAGAAGGGCGCGGGCGCGTCTCGTTTATAAGGATAACCACGCGGCGGTAACGATCGGCGAAGCGGCTCGTTACAACGTCGCGTCGGCACGCGCGTGATTTCCCAACGAATTCGCGGCTTGGCGATTCCGCATTCGTCGTTGTCATCGCCATCGTCCCCGTTTACACAAACTCGCTCTTTAACGTTATTATTACCGATCCTCCGATGAGAAAGGAAGAAAGAAAGAGAGAGAGAGAGAGGGAGAGAGCGCACGTTCGAAATACGGCGCGTCCGGCGATCGGCTCTATATCTCCGGGCCGTCTGGACGGAACAACGCAGCCGGCGCCGCGCTGTAAACCGCAAGAAAAATCCCCCTGAATTATCGGTGCGGTTCTGGGCGCATGCTGTTGCATCGACGGTAGAAGCGTAGCGCGACGGGGTCGATGTGCATTCGTAGGTGTGCAAGTGCATGCGCGCGTGTACGTCGTGTGTGGGTGGCTGCTGGGCTGTGCATGTGTGTGCCCTCGGCTCGTAGATGTGTGTAGCCGTCGCTGCCGCTACCGTTGCCGTGCATTATCAGAATGTAACGACGCCAACGATACACGCGAGCGGACCGCACAGGAAGCACCCGCGTGTGTCGCAGCCTCTCGATCATCGTATTTTTCGAAATCGCCCACTCGCTCGCGCTCGAAATCGCCCGGTCGCGATCGCGATCGCGGACGGCGACGGGGAATCGTGTGTGAGAGAGAGAGAGAGAGAGAGAGAGAGAGAAAGAAAAAAGACACGGAGCGAGAGCGCGTGCATTCGCGCGCGCTGGGTAATCGCTCCAGCTATTTTCGTCATTGGAGAAACACGGAACAATCTCTCTCGGGGGGAGAATTTCCGAGAGAATTATCTCGCGCGCTCGCGCTCGCGCTTCTTTCGACTCCGAGTCGACTGTCGTCGTATAAAGTTATAAGGAGAGATAACTGTTCCCCTGTCGCTTTCTAGATCGCAGCGCGCTGCTGCTTGCAGCGCAGCGCGGCAGCAGACAGAGAGCTAAAATTATCTAATCTACAGGCAGAGTTAATGCGATACCGAGGAAACCGGCTATTAATCGAGCTACAACACGGACTCCGTGTCGCGGTGCGAGGAGCGATACGAGGCAGCGGGCAGGCGAACGCACGAGGGAGACCCGCACGAGCCGACGGCTCGCAGAGTTCTGTTCTGTGACTGCGACTCGGATTATTTGGATCCCTATCCCTACGAGCTTCCTTCCTTATTCCTCCTGCGCTCGCTCTCTCGCTCTCTCCTCCTGGCCCTATCTCCGGCTCTTTCGCTCCCTCCCGTCCCTCGGGATCCCTCGATTCCCTCTCGCTCTGTCCCTCTCTCTCTCTCTCTCTCTCTCTCTCTCTCTCCGTGTCGCGTCGAATCCGTTTCCGTTGTGACTGCCGCCGTGCGTCGCCCGCCGAGCAAGTATTGCCCATTTGCGGTGCGATTCGCCGTCTATCTCGAAGCCGGGACGAGGAGACCCGTGCGACTTGCCGACGATTGAAGGTGCGACGCGGTCGAGTCGTCGCGAGTGTCAGCGAGCGAGACGGAGTCGAGTCGCTCGAGACGGGAATGAGACTTCGCGCGATAACAGCGCGTTTCGGGCGGAAAGATGACATCGGGCGGGAGGACAACACTTTCCCCGACGACATTAAATCCCCTCGTTCCGTTTACCATTCCGTTTCGTCTGTCGCCTACCTCGTGGGTGGGGTAAGAGAGCTTGTACAAGCAGGCTCTCTTCCTCCCGCCCGACATCTCTCTTTCTCTCCCTCGGCCGGGACGATTCATTCAGAGAAACTGCCGTGAAAGGGACACCTGTTGGCGCAGGGACTCTCGGTTGACAATCCTAGAAACGAGGAGCACGTGCCGCTGCCGCGACTGGGATATCTTACTACACGCCGATCTCTCTCCCTCTCTCTCTCTCTCTCTCTCTCTCTCTCTCTCTCTCTCTCTCTCTCTCTCTCTCTCTTTTCCTCTCTCACCGCACGGTGCTCATCGAGCAGTCTCTCGACTCGCTCTGATCTCTCGTGGATATTATTTCGAAGGAGCTGGAGGACGCGCGACGGAGCTCTCGTTTTCACGCACAACCGCCCGTCTCCCACCCCCGAATGCAAATAAAGCTATTCTCGAGACAGCATTCCACCGAAAGCGCAAAGCGCAATCTCCCGGGGCAATTTCGATGCATAAAGATCGCCGTGGAATCGCCTGTGCGAAGAGGCCCGAGGGTCACCGGGAGCCGTTTTCGACGGTGATCAAGTCTTAAGGAGCGGTAGGTGGTGCACAATTAAAGTACTTTTTGGCCGACTGGTAGCGCGAAAGCGAGCCGGGGTACGAGGGCGAAGATAAAGTGCTGGCCGCCGGCGACACCGCGCGTTATTAATGTATGCGAGGATCGTAGCTTCCGTTCGTGGCGGGGCCCGCAAAGGCGCGTCGACGCGTCTCGTACACACACCGATCTTATTTCCGGGGCCCTGACTCTCTTTCTTACGCGGCCCAGTCGCGCACTCGCTCGTCGGCTAATCGACGAGAGACCGTCGACAGACGACGCGGTCCACCGGTAGTCCACGTTGGACTCCCTGATTTCAGAAATGTTCGGAACACGGCAACGGCATGATCGCCACGAGGCAACATCCAGGAACGTCAAACTGGTTTCATCGAAATTACCAGTCACGTTCTCAAGCTACTCATTCTCTCTCTCCCTCTCTCCCTCTCTCTCTCTCTCTCTCTATCTCTATCTCTTCGTTCGCTCTGCATACCGGCACGACGATAGAGCTTGGTTATTACCGCGAACTTAGGCGGACGCGAATTTCCCTCGGCCTAAAAACACCCCCTATATATCCGCGAACACAATCGCGAGGAACCTAAACGTCGAGGCCTAAACAAGAGGCAAGAAGCCATGGAGAAGAAAGGAGGAGGAGGAGGAGGAGGAGAAGGAGGTGGAGGAGGAGGAGGAGAAGACGAAGAAGAAGAGGACCGTCATCACGCAAGATCCTAAGCACATCACATACCTGGCCGTGGTGCAATCCCTGTAAAGAATGTCGAAGTCCTTGCAGCTGAGCAGTTTGCACCGATTGACGCCGGGCTGGATGGCTCCGAGGCCGCGTAGGATCCTAACTTGCTCGACGTTACACACCAACGGCACGATATCCAGCCGCTTGAGCTTCGTGTAGACCGTGTGAAGGCCACCCACGAGGTGCTTGAGAAACAGCTCGAAGGCCTGCGGCAGGCAGAGCATCGTGTCGCCGGCGATGATGAACGCCGCGACCTTCTGGCCGCGATAGTCGACCAGCTTGCACTCGTTCGCGGTAGGATCGCTGGTGCTGATCGGCGGCGGACTGTTGTACGACCTCGGCGGCAGGACCGCGTGATGGGCCGCCATCAGCTCCAACGGCGAGCCATGGTGGCCGCTGAGCATACCACCGAGTTGGCCCAGCAGTCCCAGTCCTGGCGGTGGTAATCCCGGCATACGAGGCACCATGCCCGGCGGTGCCCCGGGGCCTCCCCCGGCCGACAACGGCGGTGGACTCAGGGGTAGACCCTGCGGCGGTGAACCTCTCGTGGGCGAGCCCGGAGTCGGTACACCGCGGTGCTGCTGCTGTTGCTGCTGCTGCTGCTGCTGCTGCTGTTGCTGATGATCGCGTATCTGATCTCGCCCGTGCGACTGCTGATGCGAGGGCGGCGGTTGGTGCTGGCCGCCGTGTAGTTGCTGTTGTTGCTGACTCTGCTGCGTCGACGGGCTATGCGGGTGTTTCGGACTGCCGGTTACGGGACTGGCACGGCTGCTGTGATCGGAAGAGCTGTCCATCGCTCCGTGGTCCATGGAGGGTCGGAAACGCGCGTCCCTGTTCTTCCTGCGACTCGTAGAGACGATGGCCTGGCACGTAGCAGTTGCCAGCGATGCCGTCCGTGCCGTGCCTATGACGCTCGGGTCCGTGTTGCTGGTCGGCCGCTGGCGAGTGTCGCTGGGGGAATCTCGCGTTCGAGCCGCGGCGACACTTCAATGCATGTTAATGCCGTTCCTACCGCACTTTGCCTGCTGTCCCGAGAGCTCTCACGGACGCTGCTCTCTCGACGACGGCAGATCGTCGCTGGCAAATCGCGCACGACGGCTTCGGCAAGCTCCCAACCGCGCCGCGCGTATTAACGTCCTCCCAGCTTGGTACTTGTCACCACTAACGAGTAGCGCGGAGCGGACCGCACAATTTGCTCCTCGGTCCTCACTAGCACGTGAACCTCAGTGTCCATAACAAACCAGTCCACTACGCGAGTACCTTATTTTTCACCGATCCATCGCGATGACGTTGGATCTAACCGGCCGATCGCAGCAACGACAGACGAGAAGCACGACGACGACGAAGACGACGACCGCTGGACAACGTCAGTCGCGCGCAGGGCGACCAGCAGTCGTCGTGTCCTCAACTCGTCAACAAGAAGCAACTGGTTCACTGACTCACGACGACGATGTTCTTCATGTCACAACAAAACGGACGCGGATCGCGACGACTACACCCGAGCTCTGGCCAAGAGAGACGCGTAACCGTAACTGTGTACCGAATCACGACTATGACAATGTCAATGACGGGATGACAGCGAGCACGACGACGACGACGACGACGACGACGACGACGACGACGACGGCGACGACGGCGACGACGACGACGACGACGACGACGACGGCGACGGCGACGACGACGACGACGACGACGACGACGACGACGGCGACGACGACGAAGACGGCGGCAACGACGACGACGACGACGACGACGACGACGACGACGACGACGACGACGACGACGGCGACGACGACGACGACGACGACGACGACGGCGACGACGACGACGGCGACGACGACGACGACGACGACAGCGACGGCGGCGACGGCGGTGGCGACGGTGGCGGCGGCGACAGCGACGGCGACGATGACGACGGAGGCGGCTGCCGCGGTAACTCGCAGGGACGCGCGTCGCTCGTTCTCAAAGTAGCAAACGCTCTCTCGGTCGAGTCGGGAGTATTTCCCTACCCAGTCACAGATGTAATAAATAAAAACATCAGTGGGAGCCCGACAAACGGGGAGGATGGGCGTTCTGTGCGCGCAACCGACTATCCGGTTGGCGGAGCCACCGGGGCGGCTGTTCTCGCTATTGGACGGCAGGCTCGTACTGTCTACGCCTTTCGAACCTTCCCCCGGGTTGCGGCGGTTCGACCAACCGTCCCCCGCGTCCCCCACTATTTGCCAAGCTCTGCCACCGACGTGGTAGACGACGACGTACGCCGACGAGGACGGTTCCGGGGGCTACCAACACACAGGGACAACCAGACGCAGACGCGAGAGAGAGCCTGAGGACAGTACGACTGGAACGTACCTCGGCGGCGCAAGCGGCACGAGTGGGGGATTTCTTCTTTTACCTCGCTCTGGGTTTGTCTTCTTTCGGCGAGTCTTACGTTCTCTTTCCTGTCTGCCTACCTGCCTGCCTGCCTGCCCGCTTGCCTCGGCTCGGCTCGGCTCGGCTCGCGCACCTCCTCGTCCCACTCCACTTTTATATCTTTCGCTCTTGTCTCTTATTCTCCCGCTGTTTCCCTCGGCCGAGTCTCGACTGTTGCCCAGTCTACCCGCGGGAGCTCTTGTTTTTTCCCTTTTTCTTCCTTCTTCTTCTTCTTCTTCTTCTTCTTCTTCTTCTTCTTCTTCTTCTTCTTCTTCTTCTTCTTCTTCTTCTTTGGGCGTCTACGTTGTTTCCGTCGTTACTTTTCGATCACGTCTGCTCGTCCGCTTCGTTACGTCTGGCTCGTCTTACCCGTTCTCGTCCTATCGTCGTCGATGATGATGCTCCCGAGCTCTGCTCGCGACTTCTCTTCTCGTATCGCTCTCGCTCCCCCTGCCCCTTCCGCTTTTCTTGCTTTTTCCACCTGTCTTCCATCCCGGTTCCCTCTGGACTCTTGTACCAATCCCACTCTTTCTTCGTTCTTTCCTATCTTCCTGTCGCCTTTTGCACACTCTCCTCCTCTCTTCCCTCCCGCCTCCTGCCGCTATTCTCGTCTCCCGCTCCCTCTCTCTCCTCCTCCTCCTCCTCCTCCTCCTCCCGCCACCCTGCGCGTTCTCCGGGTTCGCACTCTCTCGCGCGACAAGCCCTCTCTGCCTTGTTTCCTCCTTCGCTCGCTCCCGTCCGCCCTACTCCCTCGCTTTATCTCCTTCTTTCGTCATCCCCCTCTGCGTCGCACGCGCGCACACGTACGTACACTCTGGCCGTGTCTCTGTCTCTCTCCCCTTCTCTCTCACCCTGTCTCTCTCCCTCTGTTCCCTGTCCCTACGACGAAGAATGTCGCCAACGTTCGAATCGATCGCTCGCTTTCGCGCGCGCTGCCTCCCTTCTTCACCCTTCTGCCGTCCGCGCGAGCCCACTCCTCCTCTTCCTCCTCCATCTGCCCCCCCTCTCCGCCCCTTCCTCACTCGCTACCTCCTCCACCTCCTTCTCCTCCTTTTCCTCCTCCTCCTCCTCCTCCTCCTCCTCCTCCTCCGCCACCCCTCCCTCTCTCTCTCTCTCTCTTTCTCTCTCTCTCTCTCTCTACTCTTCCCTCAGATCTCCTCTACCATATTCGCCATCAGCATTACACGCGCGCACTTATTTCTTCTGTAGGTAACTCCGCTTTCCTTGCGATCTCTCTCCTGCTCTAACACCCCCTTGCGCCTTCACCCACCCTTAGTCCACCTACCCCCTCTCCGCCGCGCGCTTCCACGTTTCCTCCGCCTCTCCATCCCCACCAGCCGCGGCACATAGGATAGTCTACGCTCTCCGTAGCTCGACACGGTTAGGGTATGGGTGCTTAATATCTTTGTGCCATACCCAAGGCGCCCGTATCCGCCGACAGTTCCTGAAGGTGAACTTTGCCGCGATCGAGTGTCTCGATTCGCGGGACAGAGATGAAAATCGTAAGTGCACGGGCACGAGTAATTTTGCACAGGCGGATCCAGCAAACAGAATGCTTAATCTCGCGGATATGTTGCTGATTAAAAAACTTTTCGGTACGAGCGAGGGAAGGGACGAGCCGCGTGTATTCTTATTCACGTAATAAATAGTCCGCGAGAAGAGAGAGAGAGAGAGAGAGAGAGAGAGAGACGAAGACGCGCTGGCTCGTCTTCTCCACCAGATGGGCGAATTTTCAGAGAAGCAACTTCACTTCGCGATACATTCCGTGCGTGCGCGTACGCGTGTGTACATGTGCACTTGAATCGGGTGAAGCGTCAAGGACCTCTTCCCCCGGTCAGTATCCTGAATCCCGTATCCTCAACGTATCTCTCGGCTCCGCTCGAGCGGAGTACGAAAAACATCGTCCGGCAGGCAAGACCCGTAGCCGGTCTCCGATTATCTCGTCATAGACGCTTCGTGGCTGGTAGCGACAGGAGGGGAAAAGAGTCTAGCGCATTCTCTTCTCTCTTTCGGCCGGTCAACCCCTCATCGTCCCTCATCGGCCCGGTGACCCAGATTCGCTCTAGGGAGACCCTTCGCGATGCGAGTATCGTCGTGTGTGTTTATCCCGATACGTTGGTGCGACCGCACACGCGTACGCGCGCACGTGCACGCATACGCACACACACACACACACACACACGCGCGCGCGCGTATACGTGGACGTATTCATGCCGGCGTACTTGATTCCACGGACCGTAGATACGTTTACTCGAAACAGCTGATCCCCATGGCGTAGACCTCCGAACGAAACAGAGACCCCATGGGTCTGTATCCTCTTCATTGAGTGCGAGCGCACAAGCGAAAAGTCCGATCGCGCCCGCTCGTACTCGTGCAAATCCGCGCCGACGCGTTTAAATCTCGCTGTCTTTCTCACGTCGACGCTCGCGCGAGTCTGATCCCCGCATTAATTGGCGACAACGGCCGGGCCGCCTCGTCTGCGCGCGCGAGCAGTAGGAATCGTAATTAATTATTCCGCGCGGAGGATTCCGAGCGTAGGAGCGCGCGCTCTCGATGTTTCGCAAAGTTCGAATATGCATTACGATCAATACTTTATCGTAATTGCATCGCGTAATTGAGCTCACGTAAACGCGCGCGTATAACGATCCGGAAACGGCCGAGTGGATTCGCTACACTGGCCGTGCTAGTAAACCGAGAAAAGAAATTTGCACCGGCAGTGGCGACGACGACGACGGCGACGGCTGATGAGTTCTCGCGAGAGCACAGAGAGAGAGAGAGAGAGAGAGAGAGAGAGAGAGAGAGAGAGAGAGAGAGAATGTCCCTGATATAAACCGCGCGCGCGATACGACCGCGATTCGTACATGTCGACGAATTAGCCAGCTCGTCCGGAACGGAATAAGAATCGTCCTTTGTCTTGCGAGAGCGATCGATCATGAGATCGATGTGCGCGCGGTCCGGACAAGTCGGGGGGGACCGATGTTTGCCGCGACCCAAACCACGTCCAATTAGTGGAATTAATACCGGCTGGCTTTGGGGGAGCTAATGCCTCTGTGTGCATACCTACGGGTATGCGCACCGATGACTGCACTTTCCTTCGTGCGTAATGAAGGACAATCCTGTCGTCGAACCACCTCGATGCATTCGCTCGTGGAAGCGCGCGATCATCACCGCGCCTCCTCTCGCTCTGCGGTCACCGCAGAAATTCCGTAACTCTACAGACCGTGCGCGTCGCGGTGCTCCACTGAATCGTTAAGAAACTTGGCCGACTAATTTCGCTCGTCCGTCGTCTCTCAGGCGGCTGCTTGGGTAGCCGGATAGGTTTACACGGGCATTCATTGTGCACTTTGTAAAGCGAGTTATTCGCGAGTGTATCGCGTTCCGCGCGGCACGTGTACGGTAATGGCCCGATTGATAAATAAACGCGAAGTAACAGCGGTCCGCGCAACAATAGATCTCAATCCTATCTTATTACTTCATATTTCTCGGAGAGAGATAAAAAGGAGGCAATAAATCTCGCGTCGATCTATTCTTCGAAGCCCCAGACTATCGGAAATTTATTTCGGATATTCCGCTGCGGGGGGAAGGGACGCGTATCGCTTCTTTGCTCTCTCTCTCTCTCTCTCTCTCTCTCTCTCTCTCTCTCTCTCTCTCTCTCTCTCACGCTCTATTTTTCGAAAGCACCGGCGATCGCTTCTCTCGCTCGCGTTTGGCGCGAGGTTTGGCACGACGGGAAACGAGCGCCGGGCATTTTCAGACAGGCCACCGTGTGATACGCATTGTTCGTCCTGGACGTCGCCGCCGTCGCCACCGTAGTCCCTGTTACCGCTCGCTGCCCACCCCGTACAGATACGCGCTTAGCGCAACACGGTGTGTTTGCATCGTGCATAGCTGTTACGTAACCCTCGTCATTGTTTGCGCATCGTCGTTACACGCCTGTATGGAGAAAGGGAGAGGGTGGTGGTTTCGCCGTTGCGAGAAAGGGGCGGGCTGGAAAAAAAGGAGCGGGCGGGCGGACGACGGACCGACGGACGGACGGACGGACGGACGGACAAATTTTTGCGCTCGGCTCGCACACACAGAGGCGATACGCCGCCGCATCTAGACGCAGCCGAGCATCGCCGCGCCCGGCAGGACTGCATCGGCAGAGAACAGCCCGACTCAGTGCGGCGTTCACGCGGCGGGCTCTCGCGCGCTCGTTCGTTCGTTCACGTATTATTTC